GCACCTTTTAAACTAAATTTTACATTTAAAAATGACAATACCAGGCAGTCCCAGGTCCCTCTTTCCACTCTCTAACTGCTTGGACAAGCGAGGAAGCAGACAAGCAGCCTCTTCGCTAACTGAAAGTTAAAATTTCCTGCTTTCCCTTCCTTCCCCGTACTTTTTTTTCCATTCGTAACTCGAATGCAAGTTAAGTGCATATTTTCCTATCAGAGCGGTTCATAAGTCGAAATGTTCATAACTAGGGCCGTTCGTAAGTCGAGGGTTGACTGTATTGCCCATTTTCTATTTAATTACTTTTATAATGATTCCTGGAATTTTTCTTCAGTGCTGGAATTCATCTTTTTCACAGTAGCTACGCACTGAATCATCAAGCTATTTGTAGAACCTCAAGATCACTTCCTAGTGGCATTATAGATACCCTACGCTGGGTATCTTTAAAACCTAATTAAAAACTTGGTTGTACATCCAGGCCTTCCCTCCAGCTAATTCCTGACTTTTCTTTCTAATTCTTTTCTATTTTATTTTATTTTATTTTATTATAATTGTTATTGAATGATTATGTACATTTTGTGTTTTATTGTTTTATCTTGTATTGGAAGCCGCTTATAAATAAATAAATAAAAATTATGTCATACTCCATTAGCTTATATGTGAAGTCAGAAATCTGGGGCACAACCATCATTACTTTAGATAAGCTTATATTGAAAACCTTTGCCATTTTAATGGCTGTTCTCCCACTTTAGAGATACTTTTTACCTAATCATCCTAAATAATTCATTCTCAGAAATCCTGTTTACTAATAGGGCTTTCAAGGGAAGTGAGATATTTAAGGAGGGGTTTTACCAGTTCCATGCCCCCAGTGAGTTTCCATGGCTGTGTGGGGTTTTGAACCCTGTCCAGGGTCCTAATCTATCACTGTATCCACTACACCATACTGCGAGCAGTTAAAAAACTTGATGTGATATATAATTTTAGTGAATGATTAAATTACCCCTATTATTAACATTACTCAGGCACTTTAAACAGTTCATTAAATGGTTACACATGCGGAAAAGGAAGCATCTTTTTATTCCTTGATGGTGTAAACCTTCATTTTATTATAGGTATTTTCTTCAGTTCCTCCACCTCCCTTCCTGGAAACGAAGATTTAGGTGTGGTTATCTTTGGTGTTTAAGACACGTACAAAGTATCCGTTCTCTTTATCTGCATTGTCCTTGTCCTATATCAGTGCTCCTTCAATTTCCCTGCATTCAAAGATACCTTTGCTTCATTAATTGGTTTCTGGCACCTGATGTAATGAGCACTTTTCAAAAAACTGTTGCTATACTTCGATTTGAATTCCTACATTCTGCAGGGAGTTGGAACTAATGACCGTATAGGCACCTTCAAACTCCATTATTCTATGATTCTGTGGTAACGTTTTAAGCAATATGATCCTCACCTTTTTGCCTCTTTTCATATCTGCTTGCACTAATCTGAACAAATTTGTTTTCCTCTCCATTCTTCTTGTTTGGGAAAGACTCACATTTTCTGACAGAAGTGTTTCCTTCTCCTCTAATAACATCCTTGTCACTTCTCTTTATTCACACTGTTGATCTCTTGGGCTTGGTGACACCTTTTTTGAGCTGTGGTATATATGCTAGCGGAGCTTGTATTATCATGGTTTCATGTAACACCCAAGCTTTCTGGAGAGATGTAACCTCCTGGGCTGGATTCGACACTGGACATCTATTGGGAGAAGAGCAGCAGTCAGTGGAGATGCTCTCCTCTTCTCACTGCATCCTCAGATAACCTCCATCTTAGCTGGGAGCTCCAAATGCTCCAGCGGGGGGGGGGGAGGGGAAGGAAAGTTCCAAGGCTGGATCCAGTCTCTCCACCTTTCTCTTTCAACTTAACTTTTATGAAGTCCCCAGTTTTTGTGACTTTCTTTTTGACATCTCAGTATATCAGAAATTTGACCTAAACAAGTTGTATGGGTTTGCATTCCTCATTCAAATATCATTCATTCCTTGAAATCTAGCCCGTTAGTGGCACATGGCACACACTTTACAAACAGGATCTAAAACATCTCTTGTGGTGAAGACAGCCTTGATTTGGCAAAGCACCCCCTGACATTCAGCACCGAGAGAGGTCATGGGAAAGTGGAGTCTGGCCAAAGCAATAGCCTACAGCAGAGCAGGAAATTATAGATGATCAAGATCTTTTTGTGAAAAGTCAGAAATTTTTGGTAAAATTTGATTAAAGACAGAACGCTGTGCCTAAAAAAGAAGTGCATTTTGAGGAAATCATCAAGGGGAAAAAAACAGATTGATCCTCTTTCAGTGACTTGGAGGAGGGATTCTTCAAAAATAAAACAAATGTGTATTCCTGTTCACCAATGTTAAAGGAAAAGAAATAAGGAGGGAAAATATTATGTGCAGCACATAAATGAGGGGAAAATACTTTTTCAAGAAGTGTCACACTTTGTTAAATCATGACACATTATCAGAAAATTACCTTCCTTGTTCATAGACAGTTTGAATGCATACATTTCTTAGCTGTACATGAGTATGTTTTCGGGGGAATTTGTTCCCCCTGAAAAATATAAATTGGAGAGCATTCAACATTGTGCAACAGTCAAACATCTTCTGAATTCACCATAAGATACACAGAAACTTTTAGGTATACAAAATATAGAGACAAAATTTATGAACAATCCTGAAGCAGACATGTAGATTTCACTGTTATTTCTGAATTCTTTGAACAGTATATTGTGGTAAACTTTGCACCCACTAGTTGAACTGAGTTTAACATGTACTTAAAGCAGGATTGGAAAAAGGAAAGACACTTCTCCACGTGGTTTTAAATAGTGCCATGGTTAGTTTTGAGAAAGGGCATGGGATGGATTTACAGTACTATTCAAAAGTGGCAGTACTTGGGGAGATGAATATAATATACACAGGAGGGTTTTAGTATGACAGTGTAATTTAAGTAATTCATCTAATAAACTGAAAACAAGTTTACAACTCTGAACTCACCCACCTCATCATCATTCAGTTGCAGAACATAATACAGCCAAGGAATTTCAGAAAGTTTCCTTAATTCAGTTTCCAAACTGTTCAAAGCTGTTGACAGCAGTTCTTCATGAGGGGATTCTAACTGCTATAGAGACAAACCAGAATATCTTATCAACTATGTGCCTCTTTAAAATGAAAACCTGACAACTTTTACAATGAAATGGACTCCGTATAGCTCAGAAATAGAAATCAATAAGGATTTTTTAAAATACATACATGTTCCTACAATTACTTATTTATTGTATTTTTCTCCCTTTCAGGATCCGTGGCAAGTCATTATATGATTTTTAAAAAAGAGTCACACTTTGAAAACACAATAAATTACAGTTTATATTGGTTTAGGACATTAAAACAGGACAGAACTGACCCAATTTAATGGGAGTGTTGTACTAAATATAACTATACCCACATTAAAACTATAAGGCATGGGAATTAACAGGTCTTATATACATTTATCAATTCAAAGCTTTCAGAACTGTCAGATTAGAGCCTAACAAATCAACCCTTTAGATCCCATTCCAACTATGTACACGGGATCCTAAGGAAAATGATGATTTATGCAGATCTGTCCACAGCTTGACAATTTGAAGTTATAGAATCCAGATAATTTATTTGTACCTTTAAATCTTCTATAGTCTTTTGGATATCTTCAGAAATTATATTCATGATTTTGAACTGGGGAACTGAGTAGCCCAATATATTTTAGGTCTCTTTTATTGACAGAATTAAAAATGGAAAAGTATAAATTCCAAAAAGCAGTATGTAAAAAAGCAGAAAATCCTAGCAACCTGAGTATGTCAAGCAGCATCTAGCAAAAAGCATTTAGAAATTCCATAAGCAATTGCTACTCATTGACACACATCAAGAATAATATCTCTTAGTGTATGTGGAATTCAGCACTTGCCAGCACATAGCATCTAAAAGGTCTTCATCTTGCTCTTTCCTTTCTCTCCTCTAACTCTTTCTCTGAGACATTTTATACGTTTTTCATTAACCAAATAACCTGGGGTCTATGCCCTTACAATTTAATTTCCTTTAAATACCCCCAAACATCTGTTTACCTAAAGTTGCTTGTGAGCTATAAAACTAAATAAACTACCATTGTTATCCTGCTGGTGAAGCATAAAGTGAATAACGTACGTATCTTCTAATCTTGCTTATACTGTAGAGCACAGAAAAACATCAATTTTATCTAGCCTACCAAGGAAAGACAGCCTCAATACAGACTAAAATCATAATACCTAAGGATTATGATTATGAAAATTAAAGCATAAACTTGTAATCCAGTTGAAACAAGCAGCTCATTTTGCTATGACGGCAAGGTTAAATGTATTGGGAATGCAATCATCATTCAGTTCACATACGTTGTTTTTCTTTTGCTTCTGTAGTGAAGAATTTCATTAATGGTTATTCCCACCAGGTGGCAGCAATGGAATACATATGGTACATGCAATTGTTTTTGCTGGACATTGTTTTCATATCTCATTGGTCCACTGTTCTGAAAATCATCTTTAACATTTCACAACATTTGTGAATGCACTGCTTCATCACTTCATTCTACTTCGTCTATAAGTCTATTTTTGTTCTCAACACTTATCTCGCTGAAGTAGCCATAGTTCATAGACCTTTCTACTAATAGATTCAAGTCAAAAAGAACAGCTGCTGACAGTTCTTTTAATAAAGAAAAAATTACTGCAAGGCAATTTTGAATGATTTTACACACACAAAATTTAATACTTTTGATGCAACTGTAGTACTAAATCTTTGTTACAACTCAGTAGGCAGCCTTCAGTCTCGAGAGACTATGGTATCATGCTCTGCATGGAGGACTTGGAACAGCATCTAGTGTGGCTGAGAAGGCCAATTCGAGAGTGACAATCTCTTCCACATTGAAGCCAAATACAATCTGTCCCCTGTCCAGCTCCCTGGTTTGGCTTGTTTCGGGACTGCCTCTTTGCCTTGGCCTGCTGGACAAGGGTCTCTTCAAATTGGGACAGGCCAAGATGCACCGCCTGCCTCCAGGCTGAACGCTCAGATGTCAGGGTTTCCCAGCTGTTGTGGTCCATTCCTAAGGCCTGCAGATCCCGCTTGCAGATGTCCTTGTATCGCAGCTGTATTCTCCCTCTGGGACGATTTCCCTGCACTAATTCTCCATATAGGAGATCTTTTGGAATCCGACCATCAGCCATTCTCACGACATGCCTGAGCCAACGTAGACGGCACTGTTTCAGTAATGTAAACATGCTAAAAATTCCGGGTTGTTCTAGGACTACTCTATTTGGAACTTTGTCCTCCCAGGTGATACCAAAAATGCGTCGGAGGCAACACATATGGAAGGTGTTCCGCTTCCTCTCCTGCCGAGCACAAAGGGTACAGGACGCAGTGCAGTACAGGAGTGTGCTCAGGACACAGGCTCTATAGACCTGTATCTTGGTATATGTCGTCAGTTTCTTATTGAGCCATGCTCTCTTTGTGAGTCTGGAGAACATGGTAGCTGCCTTGCCAATGCGTTTATCCAGCAAAACATCTAGAGAGTGTGTGTCAGAGATCGTTGAGCCAAGGTACACACAGTCATGAACAACTTCCAGTTCTTGCATGGAGATGGTAATAGAGGGAATTGAGTCCATGCCCTGGCCCATGACTTGTGTTTTCTTCAGGCTGTTAGTCCAAAATCTTGGCAGGCCTTGCTAAAACGATTCATGAGTCGTTGGAGGTCTTCAGCACAATGGCTGTATCATCTGCGAAGAGGAAGTCTCGTATGCATTCCAGTTGGACTTTGGTCCTCGCTCTCAATCTAGAGAGATTTCCATCCGATCTAGTCCGGAGATAGACACCTTCTGTTGCAGTTCCAAAGGCCTGCTTCAGCATGACAGCAAAGAAGATCCCAAACAAGGTCGGCACAAGGACACAGCCCTGTTTCACTCCACTTCGGATGTCAAAGGGATCTGATGTTGAGCCATCAAAAACTACAGTGCCCTTCATTTCCTCATGAAAGGTCCTGATGATGTTAAGGAGTTGAGGTGGACATCCTCTCTTGGGAAGTATTTTAAAAAGGCCGTCCCTGCTAACCAAATCAAAGGCCTTTGTGAGAGCTATGAAGGCCACAAAGAGTGGCTGTTGTTCCCTGAATTTCTCCTGCAACTGTCTGAGGGAGAATACCATGTCGGTGGTGGATCTATTAGCTCGAAATCCACACTGTGATTCTGGATAGACTCTGTCTGAAAGCACCTGGAGTCTCTTCAGCACAACACGGGCAAGCAGCTTCCCTACAATGCTGAGAAGAGAGATACCACGGTAGTTATTGCAGTCGTCCCTGTCGCCTTTGTTCTTATACAATGTGACAATGTTTGCATCCTTCATGTCCTGTGGTACTCCACCTTCCCTCCAGCAAAGACAAAAGATTTCATACAACTCAATGATGATGATTTCTTTACAGCACTTCAGCAGGGATGTTATCCTTCCCAGGGCCCTTGGCGGAGGCAGGGGAATCCAAGGCCACTTTTATTTCTGCTAAAGTTGGTTTGCTGTCCAACTCTTCCAAGACAGGCAGGCATTCAATGTCATTTAGTGCCTCTTTGGTTACTATGTTCTCTCTGGAATATAGCTCAGAGTAGCGCTGCCCCCATCGTTCCATCTGCTGTGCTCGGTTCTGGATGATCATGCCTGTAGCAGACTTAAAAGGAGCAGATTTCTTCTGTATTTGGATCTAAAGCCTGCTTGATACCATCGTACATTCCCTTGATGTTACCTGTGTCCGCTGCTGTCTGTAGCTGAGAGCAGAGCTGAAGCCAATAATCATTAGAAGATCTCCTGGCAGCCTGTTGGACTTTGCTACGAGCAAGTCGAAGAGCCTGCAAGTTTTGCTCACTAGGACAGGCCTTGTATGCTGCCAGAGATCTCTTCTTTTTTTTCAATGGCTGGCATCAATTCCTCTGAATGGGCTTTGAAACAGTCTGCTGTATTTTTCGTCTTCTTGCCAAATGTGGACAAGGCGGTGTTATAAACAGAGTTCTTGAAATTGTCAAGGAAAATTGCAGGCCTGAGCAGAATGGAGTGTATTAATGAGAAGCCATAATGATCAGGTGTGCTGAAACTGAGTCAGGATGACTCAGCAGAGCTGATGTAATCCAGGGCTGATGCAACCCAGGGATGAGGTAATGTGTAACCTGATTGGTCCTGTATATGTATATATGTGTGATTGTACAGTTAGTTGTATCTTCTCCTGCTTGAAGATCACATCTACTTGTTATGCTGCCAGACTAATGTAAATACTGCTGTAAATACATGTTGCTGAAGGAAATGCTGCTGGACTGCCTGAAACGCGAATTACTCTGCTAAAACTGTGATTTCCGCTAAAGAAAGCTGACAGAAATGTTCCCATCGTTCAGGTGCATTTGCCTCAGCTGGGCCTGGAAGGGTTTCCTCAAGTGCTTGGGCAAGTTCCTCCACTTTTCTTTGATCGTGAGTCTTGCTGATGTCAATGCATGGTCTTCCTTCCTTTGTCGTGTGATACAATCTCTTTGTTCACAGTTTTACTCTACTACACACCAAGGAGTGATCAGTATCGCAATCAGCACCCTGATAACTGTGTGTGATACTAGGAAGGCTAGAGTGTCTAGTGAGGATCCAATCGAGCTGATGCCAATGCTTCAACCTTGGATGCCTCCAAGAGACTCTCTGTTTCCTGAATGTTTTGCAACCTTTTTGGAACATTTTGGAACTTCTGTCTCTCCCCTGCAACCCTTTTAAATAAAATATTAGAAATATTTTCAAGCAACTGCCTGGATTTTTGCCTCAGAGTCTGTGGTACTAAACCCAGGTCTTGCCTTGACCAGACTACCAAGATTTTGTGTGGGTGTGGTGATCCTTGCAAAAGAGGCACCTGGCTCCTCAGGGTCTAGACTTGTGGATTTGGTTTTGAACTCTCTGAAAGCACTGCTAAGTCTAAGCAGATGGTAGTGTGCGGGAATGATACAGTTCCAATCAGGTTCCACAGCATTCACACCTGACTCCTCCCTGGGCTCACACATCCCAGGATAGGCAAGGGAGGTAGACTGGCTAGGGCCTTGACTGTGGATCATCTTGGGACTTTGTTGACGTAATCTCTGATTCAATGGCTTCCATCGGTAACTGATCAGATGGGGTTTTATAAATGGAACCCACTGAAATCAATACTGTCATGTTTCAAAATGGCATCTATTGCTTGTAGAGATTTTTTCCCACAGGTAAAATTTCAGTCAAGTTTGTCTATTTTTTATGGCTACTTTGGTAAACTACTAACAGATTTGGCAGTTCTGAGTTTGGGACCCCTCATCCATGCAGTAAAGACACTTGGAGAGTCCACCAATGAGGCGTATTTTGTCAATGCAAGTTACACACTTTTCTAATGGACTGACTGAGGCCTATGAAGGCAAGAATGCCTCAGACTTCATGGATGATAATAAATTGTTTTTTTTTTTCAGGTAAGCATTAGACTCACAAATGACAATGGATTAACAAGCATGAACAGGTAGGGATTATTTACACAAATCAAATGAAATCAAGGCTCCAGAGAAGGAGCAAAGGCGATATCACAGCAGCAGCTAAAAGGAAATTGAGGAGTAACTGCATGGTGGGAAACATACCCAGTGCCGGGGGTGTACAATAGCAGACTCTTAGGCTCTGGAATGTTCTGAAGATGTTGGCACAAGTGCAGAAGGAACTTATATGTGTGATTCATTGAGACCATGAAGAACAACATGGAACTCTTCACTCAGCCCAGGAGAAACTATAACATTTCTGGGTACACTTAAACTAGCTCTGTTATGATAAGAAGTACACTCAACACAGACCAAGTGAACATGAATTCAAAGCCTTGACGTTAAAAAACAATTAAGAACTTCTGTTTGTCAAGACGTTCTTGCCATTATGAAAACAAATAAACATCAAACTGAACAGAAGCAACAATTACTGTAGTTCTCCTTCTTAAAGGGACCTAAGTAAAGGCATAGTGGTTTAGACATTAATGGCTGTGTGTTGTGTTATTTTGAGGGGACAGCAGATTCACACTGTCATACAAGCTGTATACTCACTGCTTTACACTGTAGCCAAGTGTCATTTCTTCAGTGTTATCACATGAAAAGATATACTACAATATTTATGAAATGTGAGGGGGTGTACTCACTTCTGTGATATACTGTAGTATACTAAAGGAAACAGCAGAAAAGCTATGCTTTATTACCACCTTACCAAAGGAACCCTTCCTGTTAACAAGGATTCAGTTTCATCATGCAGTGCCTTCACATTGACAGCAATCTCAAGGGCTATGCTTCTGGTGAGGCTCTGTGGAAAAACAAACAAAAAAAAGCAGATAAGGAACAATGGGTATGAGTCTGTAATCTCTTCTTGGAGGCAAACTTTAATGTCCTGGGGGGGGCGTGTTTGAGTGTATCAGAGTGATGTTATCAAGAGGCTAGTCTACATTGCGAGCCTGGACACTGCCATGTCCTTTTTAGAGAGAAGATCTTTCTCCTGGCAACCCTCCCGAACGAAACACACTCGTTCAGTCTTTTTCTAATTGTATTGTCATAAACGTTAATAGTTAACATGCTAACTGAGACCTGAAGAGTCTAAGATGTAACTCTTGGGATTTTTGCAATTTCTCTGAGCCTTGCATGGTCTAACCTTGGGGTGAATTTGTTTGGATATCCACACCTGGGAAGACTGACAACTGTCTTGAATGTTTTCCACTTGCTGATGATCAATTACTTAAGGGCATTTGATTAGCAGCACCTGGCTACTACTTAGCCTTTTAGTTCCTACGGAAGCAGTAAGGGTGGCACTTAGTTTTTTCACACATAGCTTCTCCATTTTGGCTTTATTTTTTTAAAATACATCATGAAATGGTGTAGGATATCATGTGTTGTTATTCATCTGAGATTTTTATTATGTCCTGATATGTAAAACCATAGCATTCAAAGAGAGTGTACTTTATTTTTCACATGACTATACATGCTTCAAACAACCAAACAGATGTCTTTATACATGAACATCACCAAACAGTTAATATAGAAATCAAACAGACAATGTAATTTTAACCAGGAGATGGAGAAGCTGTATTATCTCAGCCAAAGCAAGACCAGGAGCGGTTCATGAACTATTAATGTTCAATACTGAAGCTGAAAAGGAACAGTAAAAGAACTGTAGTGTCAATATATAAGTCAAACAACATTCCTGGTTAATTTAAAGTCCACATAAGGAACAGACTTGCATTACTAAATTCAACTGATTCTAAGAGTTCAAAGACAATTCTTGCAATAAATGTAAAAAAAAAAACATAGATGGATGACGAAAGAAACACTTAAGCCTTTTAAGGACAGGCAAGAAGCAACAGTAAAGGTGAATTATGGCCAACATCCTGAAATCAACTTTTCAGAGACTGGCATCTAGAACCAAAGAGAATTATTATAACAGTCAGTGCAAAGAAACAGAGAAGAACAACAAAGAGGAAAAATAAAGAGATCTCTTCCAGAGGTTCAAAGAAATCAAAGGGATATTTGATCCTTAATGTTGAAAGACTAACAAGGAAGTTCACTATCTGAACAAAATCAAATAAAGTGAAGGTGGAAACAGTATACTGAAGAACAATACAGAAGAGATAAAAGGATGACAGAGTCCTTTATAGAGGAATCATATGACAATGAACCTACAATTCAACAAAATGAAATAAAAGAAATAAAAGCTGCTCTAAAAGTACTGGGAAGAAATAAATCACCAGTTGAAAATGGAATAACAATAGAACTATTTCAAGTCAGAAGAGACAGGGGATCAGACAGACTAACAACTTTCCAAGTTTAATGCAGCATTCTTGGTGGAGTTTTTTGATGCTACCTGCCTTTCAGAGTAATATCTGGTCTCCATCTCTGGGATTGTATCACCTGATCTGCACAAACTAATAGAGAAGAAGAATTCTGTAGGAAAACTTGCAGGAAAATTATTATTTCCCTTCTTATGCTATATGACACACAGTTCTAGTCTCTTGCTAGGTGTCCATCTAAATATCAGAAACATTCCTCTACTCCCTGATCTTAATCAAGATTTCAGATATACATTGCAGACAAAGGATATTTTAAAACTGCACAACAACACAATTGAAAAAACACAAATGCTACTGTAAAGATATTGCCACTCTTTTTAGTATATCATTTTATGCATTACTTATACCATAAAACATTTCCCTTTACCTCAGGAAATCTTGTACTGGCTTTGTTTAATGCATGAGAACACGCATTTACAGCATGAGCTAGCTCCTGTTCCAACAGGCTGTGTATTTTTGCAGCTTCACAGATTCTGCAAAAACAGGGAGGAAGGAGAGGGAGAAGAATTAGAAATGCACTCACTTTTGATAACCAGCAGCCTAAAACATATTGGCCCAAAAGAATATACAGTGTATCTATGTTTGCAGATCAGTTGCTACTGAGAGTTATATAATGAAGAGGCACATCTTACAGAGTGTTTTCAGACACAGTGCTCTTTAAATTTCTACGCCACCAAAGTATTTTCTTTCAGGCTGGTTTTCATGATGACCTCATGAATTTAAGCATCAAAGTCATGATTTGAGACAAGATATTGTTTCCCTTCCTTTATTTCCCCCATCACACTACCCCACACATTTGTGTTTATAGTTCAGTGCTAAGCCAAACAAGGGCAAGTTATGAAAAAACAAATGAAAACACTGGTTTTATGAACATTTGTGATCTGTATATGATCTATACCATGACAAAGTACTAAAACATCTTCCCCCAGTTCTTTCCCTGGTACCTACCTAGTAATCAGTTCTTCTGCAGCCTGAGAGCACAATTGGATTTGTAAAGCCTCTTCTTCTGTCGCCAGTTCCACAGCCTGCTGAGGGTACAAAGGGGATCTCAGAACTGCTTTACAAGAATCGCATTTCTGTTTGTCTTCCCACGACTTCAGTGTGCTCTCAAAAGCCTGTGTAGAATTGAGTGTGTTACTTGTCATTACACATAAGGATATGTGGTCATTATACACAGAAAAATGTGTTACAGACTTAAAAAATATTTGAAATTTTGCAATTACTTGTACAAAATAAAATAATGATAGGAAATACAAAAATTGAGAAGCTCTACACATTCAGCAAAAACAAGACCTGGAGCTGATTGTAGCTCTGATTATCAGCTTCTTATAGCAAAATCCAAGCTCAAACTGAAGAAAGTATGAAAATCCACTGGCTAGTCAGATATAATCTAAACCAAATCCCTTATGAATACATAGTGGAAGTGAAGAACAGATTTAAGGAATTCGATTTGGTGGACAGAGTGCCTGAAGAACTATGGATGGAGGCTCGTAACATTGTACAGGAGAAAGCAACAAAAACCATCCCAAAGAAAAGGAAATGCAAGAAAGCAAAGTGGCTGCCCAACGAGGCCTTACAAATAGCAGAGAAGAGAAGGGAAACAAAATGCAAGGAAGACAGGAAAAGTTACAGAAAATTGAATGCAAACTTCCAAGAATAGCAAGGAGAGACAAGAGGGCCTTCTTAAAGGAACACTATAAAGAAATAGAGGAAAATAATAGAAAGGGAAAAACCAGAGATCTCATCAAAAAAATTGGATATTAAAGGAACCTTTTGTGCAAAGATGGGCATGATAAAGGACAAAAATGGTAAGGACCTAACAGAAGCAGAAGACATCAAGAAGAGGTGGCAAGAATACACAGAATTTATACCAGAAAAATCTGGATGTCCCGGACAACCCAGATAGTGCGGTTGCTGAGCTTGAGCCAGACATCCTGGAGAGTGAGGTCAAGTGGGCCTTAGAAAGCATGGCTAACAACAAGGCCAGTGGAGGTGATGGCATTCCAGTGGAACTATTTAAAATCTTAAAAGATGATGATGCTACACTCAACATACTAGTAAGTTTGGAAAACTCAGCAGTGGCCAGAGGACTGGAAAAGATCAGTCTACATCCCAATCCCAAAGAAGGGCAATGCCAAAGAATGCTCCACCTACCATACAATTGCACTCATTTCACATGCTAGCAAGGTTATGCTCAAAATCCTCCAAGATAGGCTTCAGCAGTATCTGGACCGAGAACTCCCAGAGGTACAAGCTGGATTCCGAAGGGGCAGAGGAACTAGAGACCAAATTGCTAACATGCGCTGGATGATGGAGAAAGCCAGAGAGTTTCAGAAAAACATCTACTTCTGCTTCATTGACTATGCAAAAGCCTTTGACTGTGTGGACCACAGCAAATTATGGGAAGTCCTTAAAGAAATGGAAGTGCCTGACCACCTTATCTATCTCCTGAGAAATAAGCAACAGTTAGGACTGGATATGGAACAACTGATTGGTTCAAAATTGGGAAAGGAGTACAACAAGGCTGTATTTTGTCTCCCTGCTTTTCTAACTTACATGCAGAATACATAATGTGAAAGGTCAGACTGGAGGAATCCCAAGCCGGAATTAAAATTGCCGGAAAAAATATTAACTATCTCAGATATGCAGATGATACCACTCTGATGGCAGAAATTGAGAAGGAATTAAAGAACCTTTTAATGAGGGTGAAAGAGTGGAGTGCAAAAAATGATCTGAAGCTCAACATTAAAAAAAACTAAGATCATTGCCACTGGCCCCATCACCTCCTGGCAAATAGAAGGGGAAGATATGAAGGCAGTGACAGATTTTACTTTCTTGGGTTCCATGATCACTGCAGATGGGGACAGCAGCCCCGAAATTCAAAGATTCCTGCTTCTTGGGAAGAAAGCAACGACAAACCTCGACAGCATCTTAAAAAGCAGAGACATCATCTTGCTGACAAAGGTCCGCATAGTCAAAGCTATGGTTTTTCCAGTAGTGAAGTATGGAAGTGAGAGCTGGACCATAAAGAAGGCTGACCGCCGAAGAATTGATGCCTTTGAATTGTGGTGCTGGAGGAGACTCTTGAGAGTCCCCTGGACTGCAAGGAGAACAAACTTATCCATTTTGAAGGAAATAAAGCCTGAGTGCTCACTGGAAGGACAGATCCTGAAGCTGAGGCTCCAGTACTTTGGCCATCTCATAAGAGAAGACCCCCTGGAAAAGACCCTGATGTTGGGAAAGTGTGACGGCAAGAGAAGAAGGGGACAACAGAGGATGAGATGGTTGGACAGTGTCATTGAAGCAATCAACATGAATTTGGCCCAGCTCTGGGAGGCAGTGGAAGACAGGATGGCCTGGCGTGCTCTGGTCCATGGGGTCACGAAGAGTTGGACATGACTTAACGACTAAACAACAACAAAAAAACACAAAAATTAACAAAAAGTCGGGGATTATTTCATCTCTACTAGCTTATGATTCTGACTAAAAATCAGAGTCTCTCATGCTCTCAGCATGCTGGTTAAGTTTCATATTGCACACAAACATGAATGTACATGTGTGGATAGTCTCTTTTTAAATGTTACAGAGAAATATCTGGAAATGTATCTTTATGCTAACCTCTTATTTTTGTAGATTACTTTTACCTTAATGACAGTGAATAAAATTTCACAAAAAGGGGGTTTTATAAAGAAGACAGTACAAATTAGGCAAAGTATATTTTCTGCAACGTACTCTGTCTCGTGTTAACATCTGTGCTCTGTTTTTATGTACTATTTTAATAATTCCCGGAGGCTGGATCCATGCTTCTCCATCTACTTGCACTGGGACTCCTTCATCTCCAAGTATGGTGATCTTTACTGAGCGGCACTGTTAGAAAGTAAACAAGTTTTAATGCAGAAGAATGTATTCACATGACAATTCCCATAAAGATGTATAGCTATTCACAGTTGTGGCTTCTCTCCAGATACATCTCAAGGCCAAAAAGCATTTGCATTTTGGCATTTATGATGATTTGTTACCCACTTAAAATGAAAACAAAAAGTCAACACTTGATTCATGCATACTGCAGCAGCCTCGGTGAACTAATGTGCCAGCTCATTCTTTTTTCCTAGACAATACACATACCTGGGCTATCCTATGATGTTGCAGCTTGATAACACGTGAAACTGCCATCTGCATGCTGCCAAAGACTGCGACAACCTCCAAAATCTTATCATCAAATGATGGTGCCCCAAATATCTAATGGTGGGGAAAGGTAGCATCAGTTTTACAAAAAAGAGACCTATAAACAGCTTAAAAATCAGGTTTTGTCTGTTGTGCTTTGTAACTCATCAAGGACATAGAGGTAGTTGCATGACCATATTAATATTAATATAAAAATTATATTAATATGCTCATGCAACTACCTCTACATCCTTGATGAGTTACAAAGCACAACAGACATTGAATATAAAATGTTATAGCATCGTTAATGAAGAAGTAGAGCAATTTGGCACACAATTATGTATGTATGTTGGCAGCAAATGCATAAATCATGGTGGCAAATTGTCACTAATTAATGAGTTATTGCTTGCATTCTTAGTCACGTACCAGTCAGCTCATGACCAAGAATTTGTTATCAGCAGTAATTTATCACTGTGATTTACTTAATTATACTTCTACCAGCATAAATTCACAATAGGAATCTGGCCCATGTAGACTGTAATATCAAATATAAAGGAAGTCAAAGACAAATGAGATATAATTAGAAACACAAAGCAAATCTGGAAACCTTTAAAATGTTTTGATTGTTCAAAAGACATCTGAAGAAGCCTGTGTCTTTTAATAGCCAGAAAATTATTTAGAGTAAATTTGCCATTTTTATTCAGACATTTTACAACAGGATACGTATCTGATTCTTGAAAGAGATCAAAGGGCCTTTGTAGGAAACGGAATGTAATGGACAGATAAACTGTTAGCTATTCCCTGTCCCTATCATAATCTCTGATGTAATGCCACTTCTGCAACAGTGTATGCACCTTCACTGGGGTCCAATTCCAATTAAAGCATGAGCATTAAATACCTTCACAAAGCTGTTCTTCCAAGAGTTAGAACTTAAACCTTCAGGGAACTAGATGAAAAAGTGTGCTTTCTGCATATATTTTTAAAAGAAAAGGCAGCTTTATGTACATCTTGAAATTAAAGTTTAACTTTAGTAAATTATCAAAGAAGTAACCATGTCAATCTGTCTAAGTATTTTGGCACAAGAAAAAAAGGCAAAATATTATAAGACTAACAATTTTATTTCAGCATGAATTTTCATGGATTAAAAGCCACTTTGTCAGACACAGGAGCGCAAATACATGGCCTGTATATGCTTATTCTAATGACCAGATAAAGGGACAATAGTTTGTTAACAGAGAAATTGAATTATCAGGAGCAGCTTAACAGTCCCATTCCTACTTTTGCCAACATATTAAAGAAATATATAAAAGACCCATCGTTCTCAAAAATATATAACAAATGTATATAATTTGGAAAGAAAACAATTCAAAACATCTAAAAATATTTGAGCATTTCTGTGAACTATAGTTTCTGAATAAAACAGTTCAGAACTTTACTCATTTGCTTTTAAGCAGCAAATAACATGTTTAACACCAGACACATTACTCACATCATCCTCCTTGGTTCCACCCCAGAAATTAGTTCCACCAGCATAGCTTGGGATATTCAAAACAGCTATGCCCTGAAGACTTGGGAGGGGGATGTATTGCCCATCACACTGCAATGTATAAAATGCTGTATAAATGACCACTGAAATAAATAGCTATTCCCTATAATTACACCAAAAACCTGGAAATGATCATTAGCCAGGATGTTCTATTCATTCTAGTACATCAACACTAGGTGTCACACCTCTCCAGTTTATTCTTTTTATAACGATGGTACTTTGCCACAGCAAAAGGAAATGAGAAAAATGTTCCCAATATAGAGTTGACTATCTGGGGAAAAAATCAAACAACTGAGCAAGCTGACACAAGCCAGAGATTATGGTGAAAACAGGATGCTTCAAGACTACCAACAAGTCTTCTAATTCCCAGTACAGTGGTCATTTATGGCCTAAGCAAGAGTCAAATGTATCTACAAGTAAGGTAGCTTATAAAAGTGTACTACTAGAATACACTCTATGTTGATTTACCTTTGGAAACTGCCAAGAACCTGTAGCTACTAGTTAGGTTGTTGATCGGAGATACACAGAAATGCTACTATACATTTCTGGGGTGTCGAGATTCAAAACTGTAGAAACTATCCTCTGGTCTGGTCTTCAAACACACATACTGAATACAGCAATATTAAGTACCATTGCTATTAAAGGCTTAAAGTGACAACCCTCAACTGTAAATACTAAAAAAGCCAGGCATGGAGCAAAGGAAGATACCAAGGGGTTCTTCCTCTCTTGTTTGTTTGGTGTTTTTTTAATTATTATTTTCTCTTTTCTCTTCCTCGGGTCAGCAAGAAGATTTTTGCACACTGTACACAGTGTTTTGTCTACACTGGAAGCAGGCAGTGGAGGAAGTCAAGGTGTACATATGTATGTGTATCTATAACTGAGGCAAGGCACGTGAGATTGTGATGACAGAGACACTGAGTAGATGAGGGTAAAGATGCTATTTCAGAGTTGCTTGATCTTTCAGGCTGCAGCCCATGTTATATCCATTTATTCAGGAATCCGACCACTGAATTCAACAGCACTTATCATTGAGTCAACACAAACAGGATTGCATTAATTGTTTTTGTTAACAGTTGTTAATGTTTTTTGCAATAATTGTGAACTGTTACAAAACCATAGCTTTATATCAAAAGTTCATAATTGATCCTCAAGTCCATTTTAAAAAACAGTCATGAATTCCTTTCTCTTTAATTCTGTCACTGCTTTTATTATTGCTGCACAAGAGTGCAGCAATATATATTGTGCAAAAGATCAAATCAGCATTCCATAAGGTAAATGTGTGGGGGGCGGAAAGGGCAGGGGGAAAACTCTAAACAAAAAATATATAACTTTGAAATTGGACCTTGGATCGGCACATTTCACACAGTTGACGCAGACAGTCTGCTCTTGCTCTGTGCCAAATCTGGGGACATTTGGGTAAATGGTGAGATATGAGATTTTTAAAAATAAAACTTCCCCTGCCCCCTGTACAGACAACAGCAAACTTTTCTGTATGTTTTAGAAGAGGTAGCCATGTTAGTCTGTGATAGCATATAAGGAAGGAAGGAAAGAAAGAAAGAAAGAAAGAAAGAAAGAAAGAAAGAAAGAAAGAAAGAAAGAAAGAAAGAAAGAAAGAAAGAAAGAAATGTTGTGACATTAAAGACTAATAGCAATTTTTAATGCGAGATTTCATGGACAAGTCCATTTCTTCAGACATCAGATCAAATACACTGAAAAAACCAAGCTTGCTCTTCTTGAAAAAGAATGGTTAGTCCTAGATACTTTTTTTTTAATTTGGAAGAAATCCAAACTTTGGGGAGTGGGTTACAACTGATTTTAAAACAAGCAATTTTAAAGAGGGGAAGCTTCTCACTTTCTGGCTTTCTTATAAGCATAAATGTTCTAAACATAAATAACATTCATGAAGGCTTTCACGGCCGGGATCTAATGGTTGTTGTGGGTTTTTCGGGCTCTTTGGCCGTGTTCTGAAGGTTGTTCTTCCTAACGTTTCGCCAGTCTCTGTGGCCGGCATCTTCAGAGGACAGCACTCTGTGCTCTGGTGTAGTTGGCATATCGTTGATATGCGGATTCTTCATTAAACGAAGTGCTCGTTAAGCGAGGCACCACTGTACATGTCGTACCTATTCACACATTTACTTCATCATTTCACAAAGTCCAAAAAAGCCCTTCAAAATATTTTGGCACAGAGATACTACACCCACACCCAAGCTACTCTTGCTGCTGTCTCCATGTGCTCATCTTCTGGAATCCTCTACCACTGGGTAATTCTACACGAGGGAAGTTTCTGTTGGAATTTGTGTGTAGCATATGTGTGTTTAAACTCCTGTTTTAAAAAGCCATGAAATTCAATTCTTTAAAAAAAAAACTCTGGTTCATGAATGTGGGATATTGTGTGTCTGACCCATGATTCAAAAAGCCAGGGAATGGCCCAATATTGCTGCACAATATTTTGTCCACATTGCCAGCAAGAAAATGGATTCCAAGCTTTACATAGCAAAGTGCAGCCTGAATGTTGCCAACACCAATGGCAGCTATCAAAATGGTCCACAGGATACCCTTTTTTCTCATTATGATTCATACTTGTTGAAAAACAGCTGTAACATTTGCTTTGTTTTTAAATGAGAAACAGTTAACTGATGGAAAAAAGGAGTCATTCTAGGATTTTCCTTTGCCTTATGTCACTTTGTGTATTTGAAAGGAATTGGGGAGGTTACACCAACCTTCTGTTTTCTATATAAAACAGTGTTTCCAGCCTGGGGATTATGAACTCTAAGGAAGTCGCAAAATGTTTTCTGGGGGAGTTGCGCGTTCCCTTATATGTTTTAGCTCTTGTTACATCATTTGTTCCCTGACCTTTCAGAGAGTGATATTAAAGTCAAGGTGTAAGTATTTGTATGAGAAACAGGCCCTTTGAGGGAGAAAGAAGCCTCTACTTTCTAAGAAGAGACAGATGACTTTACCCCATTAAAAATGCCTTTTAATGCAAACATGGCAGGTGTGTGTGCAGGTCACTTGGCTATCATAAAAGGAAGTCATGACTCGAACAAGGTTGGGAACCACTGGTCTATAACATAGATTTGAAAGGAATTCTTCTGAGTAGAAATTACTTTCTGTGTATAGAAAACTTGAGCAGAACCAAAACGTGGCAGCCAGATTGCTGAGTGGGGCTGGTCACAGAGATCACATAAACCCCCACATACACCCGTGATAACAGCTCCACTGGTTGCCAATTCATTTCCAGACACAATTCAAAATGTTGATTCTAACCTATAAAACCCTCAATGGCTTTGGTCCAAGCTATCTCAAGGACTCTATCTCACATTATAAGCCTGTCGGGAGTTAAAACGGCAAGGACCTTTTTCTTCAGACAAGCTTTTCCTCATTCACTGAATGCTTGAGTGGAATTTTTAATCGGATTGTTGTGCCTTACTGCTCTGAAATGTGTTTTTTAGTATTCTTTTGTTTACCATTTTTTAAAGTAGTGTTTGTTTGATCCTTTTTAATATTTGCATACTTGCTTTAAATATTGTCTTTTAATGATGCAAGCCACCTTGGGTCCTTTAAAAGGAGAAAGGTGGGAAAATATTTTGAATGAATGAATGAATGAATGAATGAATGAATGAATAAATAAATAAATAAATAAATAAATATATATGTTAGAATGTAAGCTGATCAGTACTATACTGTGGCTCACGAGACGAACTGTGTTATAAGCAGATAATATGCAGCTGCCTGGACTGGAAAACCATAACCTCAGAAGAAAGAGCAAGAGAAACTCTTGGTGCCTGTTGTTGAAGCTGGGAGGAGAGTGAGAACTGGAATGGAGGGAGAAAAAGACCACTGGAAAGTTTTTTAAAAAATGGAGGGGAGCCTAAAGGATTTCTAAGTGATGTGAAGTTGGTATCGTTGGACAAGTAAGGAAATGAAGGGATTGCACGAGACCAGTTAGAACAGCTGTGAGGAGAGATAAGAGAAAGGTCACTTTAGGGAGGGTAGGCGGAATGGATTTCTCCAGATAACTTGAGTACTTTTGCTAGTTGCCAATTAATACCTTAGAACCAGAAGGAAATCTGAAGGAAGCAATGAAAGTAAGTTGTGGTGGCAGCGGTGGCTGTTGCTGTTACATACCTTCACGCTGGAACCGATTTATAATGTTCCTAATAAGCATCCAAGTTAAGCAAGATATTTCAGTGTTTTTACCAGTTCCACTCCCCAAGTAAGTTTCCATAGCTGAGCAGGGATTTGAATCCAGGCTTCCTGAGCCCTAATCTATCACTATACCCACTACATTCACACCGGGTATCTTGATGAAAGTACAGGATATCCATTACTTTAAAAATAAAAAAAGCTTTGTGCCAATGAGCTCTCTTCTTCCCTTCCCTTCTCTCTGTGAACCATTTTCATTTTAAAACCTGCTTTTTTTAACCAAGGAAAAGCTTCCTGTTTGCTTTTTTTTGTTGATAGTGCCTGAAGCAAAAGCATTCTTGATGAAACTGTTTACTACCTAACAAGATGTAAGACCTGAGACAAATCTCTTCCCCCAGTCAATCTGCATCGTTCACCATGACTGAAGACAAAGGTATTCCTGGAGGATCCGTTTTAACTGTTTATTGTACATGACTAGTCCCATAACACCCCTATGCACCCATACTAAAGCCCATCTTCAAATTTGTTTATTGCATTCTGAGGTGGGACTAAAACTCCAGGCCTAATATTAGGGAGCGGCAATCAGGTACAAAAGAAGTAGGATTGGTAATGGAGCTGGAACTCTGCTTTCCAAGCCCAAACCTTGGAAGAAGGTAGCTAGGAGCAATACATAAATATTACCTCAAGCTGAACTTTCTGTTCTAAGTTTTTGTAGGTCCGCTGCAATAATTCTTTGGTACCAAGCACACCATACCACATCATATTCTTTGTCCTGCTTCTAAAAGCAGAAGAAATGACAATTCTTAGACATACAATTCACATAGTCAGTCATATTCTGTAAATTACCAGCTAAATTCTAAGATGTCATAAGGAGGGGAAAAAGAAATTACATACATACTTCATATTTCGACAGTGCCTCAATTACCTGCATTTCTCAGGATGTTCTTCTCGTTTATTGTTAAATTCTAAGGAAATTTTTGCATCTAATCCAATGCCAAAATAATTGTTCATGACACACTTCTCTGAATATCCTTCCCTGTAGACAAATGTACATCATGTAGTAAGTGTAACATAGAAAGGGTAGATTGTAACTACCATGTGTGTAACTATGCAAACAATGGCACACTTCTAACTTTTCACCTGATTCTGTGCTATCCCCTTGTCCCATTATTAGTGTGGTTCTTCCTCTGTCCCAGAGTCTGGGATGTTACACGTTCTCTAAAATGTAGCTTATAGTCATCAACGCCTTAAATAAACATTAATCTAGTACAATTCTGCAGATGGCACGTGTCAATTCATTCCCCCTCCAAAGGGAAGATCACCTATATTTTGTTTCAAAGCTAGATTTATACTCTGTAGCCCAACCTTGGTAATATAAAAATATTTGGCTACAACACCCAGAAGCCTTTAGTTAACACAGCCAAGAATCTATGGTGTTTCTCAGGGGTTCTAGGAGTCTAAGCTCCTCAGGAATCTCAAGGCTGAAAACCACTATCCTGTAAAGAGCCAGCTTACCACTCCTAAGTACTCTTCTTTGGCATAGCACTGTAAAGAGTGAGTGAATGTGTAGGCCTGGTTAGAAGCTGGCTGAGAGCCTTTCTACTTCATCCAAGATGGCCATTTAGTTCTGAACCTTGAGGCTCCTAATAGTCTTACATAGAAAATCTCAGAAGCCAAGGAGCCTCTATTGCTTTGTCAACTAATCTTTCTGGATGTTGTAGTTTAGAGTCATAAGATTGGACTACCCATTGTAAACGTAGTTTTTGAAGGGAAAGATGTTTCTCCTTTTGAGGAGGTGAAGTAATACGCCAACCAATATGTTGCTTTAATTTTTTTTTAAAAAAAACACTGGATTTTGAGAGCAGTTTCTGGCATTGGTCCAAAAAACCCAATGGATTTTATATTCACACATTCATTCTAAACATTATTTCCAAGTTCCACTCCCTCCCATCTAATAGCAATAGAATAGTGCTAAGCAAGTATTTCATGCATCACTAATTATATATATTTTGGTCAGAAAACATAAGAAGCAAAGAACTGTAGAGCTGGAAGGGACCCCAGAGCTCATTGAGCCCAACCTCCTGCTATAACAGGAAATCCACAGCTAAAGCATCCCTGGCAGGTGACACTGGATTGTATCCAGGGATGGTTCTCCATGTAAGGGCAAAAGTCCAACTCACACTTTATATTATGCAGCTGAGATATAATGCAGTTGTTGTGTCTTTATTAATCATATACATGCATATAACTTGCATATACTTTCTTAATTGCAGAGTTGTTTTTCTGCTAGTCAGGGCATCTAAATTCCCTTTTCTCCCTTTTCCCTTTTCTTAGCTACCCTCTTTTACTTCTGGGGTACTGTATATATTGGCCACGATACTAAAATGTCCATCAGAATAAACACATATGCTTCCAAACTGAACTTGTGAAAAAAGGAATTGGTCATTTTCTCAAGATCGGAACTATATGCCCCAATTCTTCACTTGTGTCACAAGGTCCTGCTTGTGGGCATCATCCTTGCTAAAAATGTTTGGTGAACAGTTCCTTAGTGACTTTGCAACATACATAAGAATAAACAGAGAATGCAAGAAATGACCTTATACTGAATCAGATCACTGGTCATTTTAACCCATTATTATCAACTCTGACTGGCAGATATAGCCATCCAGCTGTTATACCACTGATATCCAGGCAAGTAAGCATCCTTCAATCTCGAGAGATTATGGTAATGTGCTTAGAACAGAGGTCTTGGAACAGCATCTAGTGTGGCTGAGAAGGCCAACTCGAGAGTGACAATTCCTTCCACACTGAAGACAAACACAATCTGTCCCCTGTCCAGCTCCCTGATTTTGCTGGTTTCGGGACTGCCTCTTCGCCTTGGCCTGCTGGGCCAGTCATTTTAGGAATAAATACCATTCTTTCCTAAAATGGCCTGGATATCAGTGGCATTGCCCATCCTAGTACTAACCAGGCCCAACCCTGTTCAGCTTCTAAAATCAGATGAGATTGGATGTGAAGATGGTGTGCATGGGGGTAATGATGACTCCACCATATTGTAGCATCAACCAACTCACAGGGCTGAGGCTGTATCACTTCAGTACTTTATCTTTTCCAATGTTCTTTGAACATCTTTTGCGATTTCATCAAGCAAGATTTGAAAAAGCCTCCTGACAAAACTTTGGTTAACTCTGTCTCCCCCTTGCTCTTAAGACTGTGTTTGACAGGGAATCTTCGGGGAACAATAAGTAAGGCTCCAGCCTAACTGAAGGACACTGTATCTATATGGCCTTCTAGGATGATAGAAAGATAAGCTGTGCCCTCTCTGACTAGATATCACTATTTTTGGATTATGATTACAGTTTTCACTTTATTCTATTTTGTAGACTTCTGAATTCACAAAGGTCATTTCAATTTTTCTTTTTCTTTTTACTGGACATTAATATTATAAAATTATGCTAATTTTATACATTATAAGAAATAAGAAAGTGACATAATTGAGAAACAGAAAACAGCAAAAATTAAACAATTATTTTTCTTACAGTGATTCTGGATCAGGATCAATAAAAGGTGTAGCGCCAAATGGGTCAATGTTGGCTAATAACATTTTGCTGATAATAGAACTTCCTGCAATAGAGGCAGCTAGACCTGCTCTTAGACCTGATGGGAAAAGGGGGAAATGGATGTTGTAATTACCTAATGCTGCAGATTTATTTTACACAATTATCAGAAATAATTTTTAAGGAAATGGGACAGTTAAAACCTTGCCTTGAAAACAATTCAGTAATCTTCCAAATGTTAAAAAAGCATTACATGAAGTGATTTTCATTTTCAATTTTTTTCCAAAATGTCTTATTTTTCAACTGTAAATATTGGGAATGAAAAGATCAGTGGAGAGGATGAAACAAATATATACACCTTGTTTGCCATCTTAGGCTATCACAGTTTCTTTGCTTTTCTACAGAAGGATAGATCAATCAAAACAGTCCACGATGAATTCTGGCACCTTTAGACAGAACTGTAGCATTTTACAGAGCTGAGGTTCTAATTCACAAAGAATATAATGAGAAGAAATGAAAAGACTGGAAGGAGACATATTAGCAAGAAAATAGGCCAAAAAGGCCAGTCAGGAGTCTCATCCGTGAGGAATTAAAACTATTTTTTTTATGTCTTTAAAGGAAGGTTTCATTAAGAGAAATTTTGGACTCTGAAAGAACTAGCTTGCAATACCGAGAAAATACAGGCTCAAACTCCATGTTATTTTAAATGTAGTATTTCTTTTACCAGAAATGCTTTTTAAAAAGAAAAAAAAAGTAGTTACAACAGTGTCAGCCCAAGTTTAGTACATTAAATAACACAAATACTGTGTAGCTTGACCCATGGGGAGAAAAGACAGGAAAACATCAATGGGATTCAAATTATTTGCTATATCCATAACTCCCACTGGTTTTAATGACACTAAAGCATACAAACTTTCTCTGGATTTTTCTGTAAGTCATTACACATCATTAGATCAACTTTTGCACATATACACATAGATACATAGATACTGTACTTTCAGTTATTCTTTGTTTACATTTCAACTCCTTTCTTCTTGGCTTATTTATGAACAAGCCTTGTAGTGTGAGAACACAAGTATTTTCTTGAGCATTGAACACATTAAAAGCATCTAAAAAGTGGTGTTTATTGCCACACGAGATGCAAATTAAACACTGCTGCTTCTAATGAGTCACAGTTTCAAATAATGTTCAGATACTTTTTAAAAATGGAACAATGTGCTTACCTCTATTAAACAATTAAAGCCTTTTGATTTATCCTGGGACGAAACACCAAAGTATCTTCTCAGTCAATGAAAGGACTAGCTGCAAATTATAAAAAAATCATTACCTGGGCAAATTATCCTTGTGTTTAGTACTGGAAGGTTTTCTTTGTTGGTTGTACAGGTTGTGGCTGAAAAAGAACTTGCATATGAAGGAATGCGACTTCTTTGTCCATCTGGGGATTTGAAAGTAAATTTCAATGTTCAGAGCAAGAGAAACAACATGCTGTACATGGCTTTTCTACATATAACATGCAAATCATATGCATATATTTTATTAGGAAAACAAATAGCCTTTGACACTTCACACAGGCTGCACAGGTTTTTCAATCGAGGTTGTAACATTTCTGCAAAAAGGACAGGTTACTTACCTGTAACCATAGTTCCTTGAATGGTCATCTGTGAATTCACACATTAGGTTTTTCTGTGTTTGAACAACAATATCCAAAAACTTCTAGAGCTTTCAAATACCAGATGACTCCATCCTCTCTCCTTGATGGGGTATGCTCCATCATCTTAGTTCCCCATCATCTGCGGCTGAGTAATTGGAAGAGAGTGACAGGTAGAGAGAAGGCAGGAAGGAATGTGTGAAGTCACAGATGGCCACTCAAAGAACTACTGTTATAGGCAAGTAACCTGTTGTTCTTCACTGCGGTCTCTGTAAATCGCACAATGGGTGACTAAAAAGATCACTTACCAGTGGGAGGGAAGTCATGCTAGCAAAGACAAAGCACACTCTGCCAAATGAAGCATTAGTTTAGCCCATACATCATAGGAAAGTGAAGTTTGAAGGGGCCTACAAGGCCATCAAGTCCAAACCCCTGTTCAACACAGGAATACAATCAAAGCATATCTGCCAGGTGAGTAAGTTTTTCTTGAATGCCTCCAGTATCGGAGCACTCACCAACTCCTAAGGTAACTGGTTCCACTGTCGTACTGCTCTGACAGTTAGGAAGTTTTCTCTGATATGCAACCGATATCTGGCTTCCTTTAACTTAAGCCCATTGTTATGTGACCTGCACTCTGGGATGATCGAGAACAGATCTTGCCCCTCCTCTGTATGACAGTCTTTCAGATATTTGAAATATGCTATCATATCACCCCTCAGTCTTCTTTTCTCAAGGCTAAACATGCCCAATTCTTTCAGCCTTTCCTCATAAGGTTTGGTTTCCAGCCCCCTGATCATCCTTGTCGCCCTCCTTTGAACTTGTTCCAATTTGTTAGCATCCTTCTTGAAGTATGGTGTCCAGAACTGGACAGAATACTCAAGGTGAGGCCTAACCAGTGCTGAATAGAGGGGGACTAGTACTTCACAGGATTTGGAAACCATACTTCTATTAACGCAGCCCTAAACAGCATTTGCCTTTTTTGTAGCACATCACACTGTTAACTCTATAGTGCTTCAGAAAAGTGAGAGGGTGTGACTATGCAGCAGGTCAACAAATATCTGGTAGATGGACACCTCTCAGGAATGCATAAAGGCTGCCACCTCCTTTGCCGAATAGGCACAGAGAGTATCTGGCAGTGGTTGACCACCAGCTGACAAGCAAGCTGAATGGTACTTATTAGCTACTTTGACAGTCACTGCGGTAAAGCTAGCTGACCCTGTCTAGGGTCCTGATAGTATACAAATAGCTAAGCCATTGAATTGTTTTGGACACATAAAATGGAATGCATAAAGGCTGCCACCTCCTTTGCCGAATAGGCACAGAGAGTATCTGGCAGTGGTTGACCACCAGCTGACAAGCAAGCTGAATGGTACTTATTAGCTACTTTGACAGTCACTGCGGTAAAGCTAGCTGACCCTGTCTAGGGTCCTGATAGTATACAAATAGCTAAGCCATTGAATTGTTTTGGACACATAAAATGGCAATGCTTGAATGGTACTTATTAGCTACTTTGACAGTCATTGCGGTAAAGCTAGCTGACTCTGTCTAGGGTCCTGATAGCATACAAATAGCTAAGCCATTGCATTGTTTGTTTTGGACACATAAAATGACAATGCTTGATGCACATCCAAGAGGTGAAGAGCTGTAAGTGATGGAAAGAAGACAGGTAATATCAATGGCTAATTCACATGGAAATCTAACACATCAAGGGAGGTGCATTAGTTTAGACCATGGCTGCAGCCTCACCCCCCACCCCCCCGGAGGAGCATCCTAGACCTGGCTTGGTAGGCACTGAAGCTACCCGAGTACAGGGAAATCTGCAGGCTTGCATTTGGCATCCTTGCTGTAACACCCCATGCCTTGCACGCTGGAGGGGCATGTTGGAGATGATGGAGGAGGTGGAATTCCACCATCCCCAGCCCTAAAAGACTGGGGCTGGAACTAGTTCATTTGGAAATGAACTCCGTGGTGCTCTTAAAAGATACAGTTTCTGTTATATGCCGGATAGGCAATATTTGGGTTCTCATAAAACAAGAAAGGGACGTGGTAGTACTGCAGGTTAAACCACAGAAGCCTCTGTGTTGCAAGGCTGGACATAAACCACAGAAGCCTCTGTATTGCAAGGCTGGACAACCAGCAGTCGTAAGATTGAATCCACGCAACGGAGTGAGCTCCCATCACTTGTCCCAACTCCTGCCAACCTAGCAGTTTAAAAGCATGCAAATGCGAGTAGATAAACAGGTACCACCACGGTGGGAAGGTAAAGGCTTTCCGTGTCTAGTAGTGCTGGCCACATGGCCATGGAAGCTGTCTACAGACAAACGCTGGCTCTACAGCTTGGAGACGGGGATGAGCACCACACGCTAGAGTCGGACACAACTGGACAAATTTTCAAGGGGAAACTTTACCTTACCTTTAAAATGAGAATAAAAAGTTTTGTTTGCTCACAACTGATGCAGGAGCTTCTTACAATTTAATTTATTTAGAATATTTTTACCCCACCTTTCTCCTTAAAAAGGACCCAAGGCAGATTACATAATTAAAAGAAAATATCAAAGCTAAAAGCAATTTTGTAAATTATCTCCAGGGGTAGATATGCTCTTGAAGTTTTGGAGTCAGCAGTGCCCCACTGTGCTGGATGTTGTTCATGGTTTTGAGGTGTGACTTATTCCAATTCACTTGGAATTTGAGATTTAACACCAACAAAAGTGTAAACACTATATCCTCAATATTGGGGTGCCTCAATGTCAAGGCTTGTTTGCAAACAACAGGAACTGTGCTAGCATTAAGGGTGTATTATTTGACCCCACAGCCTTAATCAAAATGCTGATGTATCTACTTTGACAAAAAAATGGGACATCAAAACTACTATTACTGATTATGAGTGCTGGCTTTCACTTCCTGATCAATACCTGAAAAACACAGAACAGATTGCCAGTCCACATAAATGGCTTTGTCCTTTTCAGATGAGGAAAATATGTCTTCTATAGCTTCTTCACGTTTCCTCTCATTGCTTGACTCCAAGGTCAGCAACAACAACCCATTGTCTCCTTCTGAGGATACCAAGCCTTTTCCTGACTTCATGTTCTGTATGGTTCAGTCACTTTGCATAGAAGTCTTGCAGCCACCACTTCCCAAGGCTGACCCTGTGTTCGACATGGTACAACATAATGGAGAACTATCAATTCAGATCTCATTTCTATCCCTGGTGGACTTGATTAAGGAATTATGGCCGAAACCATCCACTCTACCCCCTCCTTCTAGAAGGACTGAGAACTTTTACAAAGTGCAAGAAGAGAAAGCTACATTTACAACTGAACTCCACTATTGTGGATACTTATCCAACAAGGACCAAAGGGGAGTAGCACACCATCACAGCAAGCCACTTGATGTGAACCTCCATCACTGGGTGAGAGGGATCAGGGACTTGATCGGCAATGTCAACCACATCAATACTGATCAGGGGTGACCTATAGTACCAGGGGTCGTAAAGATTGCCACATAGGAAGACCTGACAGGCTATCAGTGTCACGTACAGATGGACACAAACTGCTGTGGCACCCGCTGCAGAAGGGAGGGCTGGGAAGCTGTGCCATTGCCTGAGTGGGCACTTGTCAGAGAGGTCAGAGCTGGGAAGCTGGGGTGCTCACAGAAGAAGCTACGTGGCAGAACCACACTGAACCACAGAATTCCCATCTCTATTGCCAACCATAAATTGTTGCTGGTGAATACAAGTCCCTACTACGCAATGTCAATAGGTAGGTGACTCTGAACAGATGTTGGCCTCTAAGCCAGCTTGGGAAAGGTGGGCCATCCTGGATGGGCACTCCTGGATTCCAGATACAGCAGCAGATAAAGCCAGTCTGCGAGAATCAAGACCTTGCTGTCAATACTGATCTAGATCTGCTGTCCTGGTACAGGTCTTGCCCTTGGCGAGAGCAGCTTGAGTCTGGTTCCTGATGAAAGACGGTATATCAAATGCAGGTATTCACGCAGTTGAGGTGATGATCTTAGTAAGGAAGTAGCCCGTGATCATCTATGATGAGCCCAGTCTGACAACTGTGATCAAGCAGTGAGGATCACCAGTTCTGAGGCAGTGGTGAAGATGGGATAGGAGTGCTGGAGGCAGAACCTAAGCAGACTACATCCTTAGACTGATTCCCTCAGGGCTGTGGCAGTGTAGTAGGACTTGCTATTCACAAGGAGGGCCAGCCCTTTACTTGGCTAAGAATTATCTTTCTCCTTTAGCTTCTTAGCCTTAGAGAGGTTGGCCTCTGGAGCTTGCCTCTTCCTGGTCAATCCTGACACCAGTGACTTCAACGTCAACACACTCAATGTCACTGCCTTCCAAACTGACTGTTCTGGATTGGTCTTTCTAGATGAAAGTCCTGAGCAGAATGGGACTGTAATTCTAGTTGCTGCAGAACTTTATGAGTTCTCAGGATTCCTTGAAAGGAGTTTTACATTCTGGGGTCTCCAGAATGGAGCTGGTAGACCACGCAACAACTGAATCCACATTGACCTTTCCTAAAGAAACAACTTTAATCTCAGTTGTCTATTGCGAAGTGCAACTTGCAAATTGAGCAAGTAAAGGTACCAGGAACGGCCATCTGGTAGAAAAATCTTATTAGAGCAGGAATTACATCACTTAAATGGGCCCGTCAGGATCATAAACAAAAAGGGCAAGGAACACAATAACCAAAGCTAACAACTCTTATGGGGGAGGAGGTTTAAGAAGGCAAGAATGACAAAAGAGGGTTGAAACTATACAGTATACAGGTTAACCATAAAGAAGGTATCATAATCAACAAATCCAACAAGTGTTCCAGACGCTCCTCTGACATTGTTTCAGTGGCAGAAAAGGAACCTGAGGGGGGAGCAGCTTTGGGATATATCTAGTCAAGAGAAAGAGTGGAATCCTCTGTTATTACAAACCTACAGAAGTCCCCAGATATTGTTGCACAAGCATAGAATAATTCAATGTGTGATTCACAGAGACCATGATGAAGATCATCCTTTGCTGGCTTTTATGAAGACTCCAGCCAAATTCCAACAAGTATGTAGGGGAGGGGGGGAAGCAAATGTGTGGCCTAAATCCAATCCAGTACACTAGCACAGCCACAGCAGCAACAACAACAGCACTCCTCCTCCTCTTCCACTCACCCCACAGCTCCTAGAACTGCCCAACAAATGGTTAGGAGATAGTCTAGGCAGGGCCCCCAGGCTGCACAGTGAGGAGGATGTAGGGGAGAATGCCCTGTTGCTAATGACTCCGCTGTTCCCACAGAAGTCTTGTATTGGATTTGGCCCTGTGTAAACAGTGTTGTCTGATTCCCAACAGGAATATACTTACATATTGGAAAAGTAAATTAATGGCAAATCAAATCAAAACAACATGGATCATTATAACTTACATGAAGTGCTTAAAATTCATTGGTGCCATACATGTAGATAAATTAGTAAAATTGTATATTATTTTCTATTTACAGTATGTATTAGCCAGTATCCTGCCATGTAGCTCTGCCTGAACAACAGAAGTGACATCACCAGCCATGGCATATTTCTGCTAATTAGAGTTCCTTTTACACATGCTGAAATTGAAAAAGGAACTCTTTAATTAATAACAGACTGCTGTGGCCCATGATGTCCTTCCAAAAAAGGACATGCAGGCACAACTGTGCAGCAGGGTACTGGCCAATATTTTACTCCTCTTTTGCATCTTTTATTATTGTTGGTTTATACATTCAGGTTGCTTTCGTGGGAGTAGGTTCCATTGAATTCAGTAGGATTTACTTCAGAGTGACATAATTAGGACCACACAGATTCCACATTTATTTTTAAATATATAAAACTATGTTTAAGTAAATGAACTTCCACTTTTGGTTAGAATGAGTATGCAGTCATTGTTTTCTGGTTACTTACTTGGATGCAACTCAGATTCCTTTGCATCTTCATCTTTTTCTTCTTTGGATTCCTCTAATTCCTTACTATAATCTACTGGCGACTGATTTATTTGCTGTTCTGTATGAGCATTCTGTTCATCCACAACTATAAGACCAAATAAATATGCAATTTGGTAATCTTTACCTTGTAGCACTAAGTAACAGTCATAGAAGTTTAAAAGACAAAGAATTTATTGGTGGATATCTGATTACTACCTCCTTCTTAAATATAAAGATGGATTCAGGCACTTGCTTTTTAGCTGGAAAACTGTGTGAAGAATTTTGTATTTGTCAGCTGAACTTGTTTTTTCCTTGTACTCCTTCACAGTGAGAGACTATCAAGGCAGTACTTAATTTTCAGTAGAAGATATTTTCAAGAGTATCATTCACTCAAGAGGGGTATATGGTTGCTAACTTAGCTATACATATGAAAATAAGTTCCAAGGACCCTCTATCTAACCTGTGGCTATTCTCTGTTTTTTTAAAAAACTGTATTTATGTCAGCTTGCCTAGTTCTTGGTAAATGTCTCTGTTCCTGGTTTTAAACCTCAGAAAACTGTTCTTCGCTGCCTGTTCAATTTTTTTTAAAATGACGAATTATGTGTACAAAAGAAAAGCCACATGCACATACAACAAACCTTCAGTGGAATTTGGACCAAAAGCTGAAAGCACTCTAAATATGAGTTACAAAAGGGACCTAACAGAAAGAGTCTCTTTATGCAAGATGAAGAAATCCATAAGAAAAATGTTAATGATAAAGTTTTCATAGTTAAGTTGCAGTTGACATAAATTACCTGAGCTATGACTATTGTTCAAGCATTTTAAAATAATTTTTTTCAGAAATCATAACTTATGTGTTATGTGACATAAGTTACTTCACCTTGATGCAATGAGCATTACTGGTTGTGTAACATTGAGTTATGCAAGCATAGTTGCTCAATAGGATTTCTGCCAATGAATAACAGAAATGAGATATCTTTTCTTTAAAATAATGAGCATTTAAAAAAAAGAAAATTTCTCTCTAAAAGATAATCTAAATGTTGCAAGGATTATAAACATACAGTATTTTATGTTCATTATTTCCTTTTTAGAAAGTTTTTTGGACTAATCTAAGCTACAAAGGAGGTTAAAGTAAGTGTCCTTTTATGAAAGTTACAAATCACATAAAATAAAATGCAGGAATTCATTTATATCCCACCTTTCCTTCAATGACCTGAAGACAATGCACCACCCTCTCCTCTTCCTGATGTTATTCCTCACAACCCTCTGAGGCTGACCTGCAGCCAAGTTGAGGGAGTGTGACTATCACCCAAATCCTAATTAATCTTAATTATGGTGTACTAAAAACAAACCACATTCATAATCTATGGTTTGAATCAAACAAACTCTAGTTCAAATAGTTTGTGTTAGGTTCAGATGAAGTAATAGGCTGCTCTTGGTTTAAATGAGAATAAAAGCATCCAAATCCCATTTTTCTAGTCATATGAAAGGAGACAGCCAAGGAAACATGCAAGCCTACAGGAAAACATGTCTTATAACAACAATGCAGCATGTTTGAGACTTATGTCTGAAGGCTGCCAAACTTTTATTTAAAAAAAAACAGTTTAATATTAGATCTACAAGTACCCTTTATGTCAGCAAAAATGTATCACAAGCAAATTTTTGGAGGCTCACCTTTTTCGGCTTGCTCAATTATTTGTCTTAAGGCTTTCTTTAAACTATTTGCTCGGAGCATTAACTGCTCCCTTGGCTTGAAGGTCTGGTGTGTGGGAGATACTGTCTTGCTCTCTGTCACTTGTTCCCTGACATCAGACAATGATTCTTCACTTGATGACTCCTCAGGTTCTTCTGCAATGGGGGGAGTGACCCGTGGTAATACAGGAGTTACCTTGGCTTCAGCATGAAGAGCCTGAAGCAACAGGTTTAACTTCTCATTCAGTTCTGAACACTAACAAAAGTACAGAAACACAAAAAGGAATAAATTATCTTTTAGAGCCTAAAGAACCAGTTATTTAAAGGAATGCTAATGGGTCAAAAAACATTGATACTTCTCACAGAGACAATATTGTTCCATCTTGCAGCTTTCCCTTCTCAGCAAACTTAAAGGGAACAGGACAGACAATTGCCATAATGGGATTCTGTAAATATTATCTGGCAGAGATTCATTTCTCTATATTTGTAAGTCTGGAGCAATGTATTCCCAGGACTCTGCCTTCTCCATTACCTCAACTTTTTTTAAAAAATTGCTAAATTATATGTGGGGAAGAAAAAAGAAAAAAACCCACACACACCAAAACTGGAAACAAGCATGGGAAAATTACTGTGATATTTACTTCAAATGTTTCAATGAATGTAAGGTAGGCACTCTCATCCCAGTAGCAGCCATGCTTGCTGGAGGATTCTGGGAGAAGTAATTCAAAAAAGTAGTATTTCCAAGCTCTGTCAGGACACCAAGTGATATTCCTGTTAAAGTATGGCTCTAAATAACAATTCAGTCTTCCAGGTTCTCCCAGTTAAAAATACTGTGTAAGGCATTTTAAAATCATTCAGCATAGCTGTTTCTCTTACACAGCCAAAATGACAGTGCCAAGGTATTCCCTTTGACCTCACTACCTCTATAGTATCTACTCAATGGCTTCTTAATGTTTCCTGCCCTTTATAAAATCTCTGCTGTGGAAAATAAAGTCTCAAGACCTTTTGCACTCTAGAGCAAAGGTAAAAATGTACATAACAAAGCCTATAGTAGCTGCATTCATTAATGCTATGTTAGAACCCGAAACAGATGTCTAGTTATTTTTTTAATGTGTTATTCTTTTAAAAGTGAAATTCATGGCAGCTTAAAACAAATTGAAAACCAGTACAAAAACAGTGAAACCAAATAAGAATACACATGTAAATAACATGAACTTCTGGGTTCCAGTCATTTACAGAAACATTTTCTGAATGCATGCAAAAAAAGGCAGTGTGAATGTCGGGAAGCACTTTTCCTAAAAAAGGAAGTTTTTTCTTACTTTAATGGCTAAAGTATCAGCTTCTGTGTTTTCCACCGGTCTTTCACAGGTCTTTCCTATTTTGGCAACAAAGCCTTTTACAGTTTCACATAATATCCTTTTATGAAAGAGACAGAAATGCCAAAACAAAGGGGAAAGAAATTAATATTGAACAGACACTCTGAGCACTGGAATATTTTCAAACACTCTATCACTCTAAGGAGAAGAGGATACCCTATAGCAGCATTTGATACAGTGATGAGTAGATGAGAAGAGAGAACAGATAACATGGGAGTTTCAGATCTCTGAAGATAGTTCTGAATATTAGTGGGGAAAGGAGGTACTGCCTCTGCACACTGCTGTCCTCAATCTCCTGCCAAGAAACCACTGGTTCACTTGTCATCAATGGTCCCCCAAATATGAAGGAAGCGCAGCCAGACATAACAAAAGGAACCCACAGACTGTCCCCCTCCACAACCACGCACAACAGATTATTACAGCCCATCTGTTGCTTTACTGGTCTCAGACTGAAAATGAAGGTTCCGTTTTCTAAGTTGAACAGAAATGCCTGAAATTTCAAAGCTTTTAAATCTGATCAAAAGCACTGCAAATACTGATATCCAAGTTATATTTTTCTCTGCAACACATAAAATACTAACTTTCTCTTTATGATCTGTTGCAGGCCAACCTCTCCACCTTTGGCGGCTAAGTAAACTCCATTATATATACGATGAAAATAAGAGCCACTATAATGTTTTTTGCCAGTTACCAGTATTATGAAGAGGAGCTGAATATTACTGGCATATAACTTGTATACTTGAGAATGACATTCTGGATTAATCTGCCAAACATTAGTACACTAAATGCCCATGTATGGCCTCAATGTCAGTTGTTTCCACTTGAACCATTCTCAAACACAATAAGAATCTAAAAAGTAAACATATGGGCATTTCTAGGCAGTTTAGATTCATCACTGCTCACAATGAATTTGAAAAAGCACTCCATCACAACCACAGGTCAGAATTCTGCAACAATGATGATGATGTGGGACTAAACATCTAGCAGGCTGTGTGACCTGATAACTACAGCAAGCTATTGTTATTGGTAAAGGTATTATCAAACTCTGAATTTGGGGGCCCCTCCTATTAACGTTACTACCTAAGGATTTATGTTTGAATGGCTTATCCTCTTCATTTTTAATCTAGCACAAAATTAGTCCAAGTCACTAAAATCACTGTAGTTCACAGAGTAAGGCAATGAGAATGTTAATTAAGAAGTAGGAACCACAACTGCATTAGTCAATATGCTTCATTATTATGTATGCTGTCTTCAAGTATTTATATCTAAAAGAGGCATATTTTAGGAAAATAGTTCCTTATAGTTTAAATACATTCTTCCATAGCTGACATGAATTTCAAAAATAAACAGGATATACATAGTTCCATTTGTTGTAATGTTGAATATGAATTTCTTGAAAGTATCTGCCCCTCAGCATCTACAGTCCATTGTAAGTAAAATATGAAGTAGTTTGGAGTAAAATTTTAAATTAGCAGTAAAATATTCATGCTTATGTGCATTCTGCTGAAGATGCCCGATACAAATTTCAAAACATTATACTCTACATCACCAGTTAATCAACTTACTTGGCAGATGATATGACAACAGAATGTTGATCAGAGTCAAGGATTTTAGACAGATGAGCAGCAATGGAATCCTCATATACCGACATCTGGAAATAAAGCAAAAGATTTTCATATTCTACGTATAATTGTATTTGAAAAAAAATCTTACACACACAAACACACACATATATATAAGGAAAAGGATATACAGTATATATATATCCTTTCCCTTAACTCAAGCTATTGTGTTTATAGGAATGCTAGATAGATACATGTGCTTTTACTGCTTTCTTAATTTAGCAATTCTTAATCTAATCTTAACCGCCATACAGAGCACGTTATCACAGTCTCTCGAGACTGAAGGATGCCTACTATTAATCTAGCAATGTTCTAAATCTTTGTAAAATTGTTCTTTCTTGTTAACAATGCAACAGCCCAAATTGTGCAGGCTGCATGCGTTCAAGGATCTGCTTGAACATGATTAAAACAAAACAAAAAAACTGACGTTTTATTCTCCTCAAAATCACCTCACCAGCAACATACAATCATAAGATAGGCCTCCTTCAGTTATCATTTCAAGCATGTATCAGTGAAAAGTGCATCTGCGAGTAAAAGCAGAGACTTTACAATCCTGGCCCTACAACTGACGGAGAGGTTTCTTCTGCAATGGAGGAATTCTGCCACTCTGCTTTGATTTTGGAGAGGCTGTGAAACCTTCCATTCTTGAGAGCCTTTGATGATTCTTCCAATAAACAAATAAGTACGCTTGTTTATTTCAGCATTTTGGTTGATTGATTAAATAAGTTTTCATTATGCAGTTTGACCATCTTCTAGAAAAGCATTAAAATCCCATAACCAAATATAAAAATAAACAAATCTACAACAACAACAGTAGCAAGAAAATCATCAACACAATCATCAGTGATTTACGTATCTAGCTGCAGAGCCAGCAGTTGGGCATGTGATTCCCCACTGAGCCTCCTGCGAGTACAGCCAGCCTGTGTAGCCTTGGGCAAGCTGCACAGTCTCAAGATGCCCCCAGAAGACAGGCCCAGGCAATGGTAAACCACTTCTGTGTATTCTATACCTAGAAACCCTAGACAGGGTTGCCATAAATCAGAACTGACTTGATGGCACACATACATACTCATCATTCAAGCCTATGCTCCAATAACAAATGCTGAAGAAGAAAAAAATGAAAGCTTTCATGCAATCATCCATGAAGAACATCAAAACAAGATGTACTGACAATCACAGGTGACTGCAATGAAGAAGTAGGAAACAAAGCAGAACAAAATGTTGTTGGAGAATTTGGCCTAGAAGTCAGAAATGAATGAAAGCAACAGCCTATTTATTGCAAATAAATGCTTTAGTCATTCTAACAGACTATTTTAGATGTGGACATCAGCAGGTGGCCAATAAACAAATCTAATAGACTACATAATTGGAAGTAGTAGACAAAGAAGTTATATTGTCTATGTCAAACCAAGATCAGGAGCAGATATGAATTGTTAATATCAAAGATTATAGCACAACTGAAAAATAATATTTTTTAAAAAAGTAAAAAATCCTTTGTCCAGACTTCCACAAATTTGGCATAGACCAAGAGTGGTCTGTCTGCTACATTTGTGCGAAATTCATCTTGACTGTGTGAATGGTATCATGAAATCTGATGATTACCAAAGAATTTTGGGGTGCAACATATTGGCCAGAGGTCATGGGTCTTACAGCAGGACAATGACCCAAAACACACTTCAAAAAGCACTCAGAAATGGTTGCAAACAAAGCGCTGGAGAATTCTGAAATGGCCAGCCATGAGTCCAGATCTGAATCCAACAGAACACCTGTGGACAGATCTCAAAACAGCAGTTGGGAGAAGGCATCCTTCAAATCTGAAAGCCCTGGAGCAGTTTGCAAAAGAAGACTGGTCCAAAATTCCAGTAGAGAGGTGTAAGAAACTCATTCATGGTTACAGGAAGCAGTTGATTTCAGGTATTTTTTCCAAAGGGTATGCAACCAAATATTAAGTTAAGGGTGCCAATAATTTTGGCCAGTGCATTTTTGGGTTTCTGTGTGGGATTGTATCAGATTTGACTTTTCTTCTCTGTGTTTTTGTGTTGTTTGAATGCAAACCAAAGAAATGAACATGTGAGTACCAAAACATTTGCAACTGCAACAATTTTCTGAGAGAAGGGTTGCATTTTCTGACAGAATTGCAAGGGTGCCAATATTTTTGGCCATGACTGTATAATGATACTGTAGTATATTTTTCAAAACTGAGGTGACTGTGGGTGATGAAATCACATCAGTCTCTCTGAGCCTAACCTCCCTCACCCAGCTGTTGTGAGGTTAAAATTGTAGAAGCTGTGTTCACTATCTGGAAGTTCTTCGAATGAATCACAAGATAAAAATGTAACTGATGTATTTGCAAATGAATAAGAAAAAAATTATTCCAGTTAACAATGAAAATAATCATCAATATATTTTGCAATATATTGTACTGACATGCAAGCTGGAATAATATAATTATTATAGTCTAACATGAACTCCATTTCACATTTTTGTGTCATACCTCCCACCATAACTCTGATGTAGCTCTTAGGTTGCAGCCATACACATTGGAGTAAATCTACTGACTTCAGTGGAAATTAGTTCTGAGCAGGCATGTATAGGATAGTATTTATTTTCTTTATTTTTATTTTAAATAAGTATTTTGTTCATTTATTTTATTTTAGTACTGTTAGTTATACTTCATTTTACCCAAGCTATAATTTAATAACATCCAAAAATTGACATTCACCTGACATTCCTCAGTCTCTTCTTCTGGTGTGACAGGAAGTATAGATTGCTTTGATGGTAATCTCAATTCATATGACATTATACTCCACCTGAAGGAAGTTAATTAAATATGTCCAAGTCATCAATCTTGAAAAGTACCAAATTAACCCCTCAAGATCAATTATTTTGGAGGTTATAAGAAATATAAGGGAAAGGGAGGGGGGAGATCTTACCTGTCTAACATTTTAGTACTAGCGCGTTCTAATTTTTCCAGAATTTGAGGAAGTTGTGTATCATCATCACATGACCCTCCCCATCCAAGGACACGGGCAAGGTCATTTCCTGTACCAAGAGGCAATACTCCCAAATGACACTAAAATGAAGTAAGAAATGATTTTGTTGAAACTCAGTTTATAAAGCAACATTTGACAGTATTTGTGATTTCTTTGGTTTTGTTTTCAAAGCAGATTTAGTTTATGTGCTCTTCTCAGTAAAAGGAAACTAGCACTTGCCTGTTTATGTAAGCTGAGTTTATCAATTTCCGACAACACCCACCCAACACTTCCATCTCCTCCACACACAAGGATTCGGAAATTGTCAAACTTCTGAAATAATCGTAAACTGAAAAAGAACACATTTTCTATATTATGATTCACAGACAGCCACAGTATAAGTATTGTAACAATGGTAATATAACCTGAGTAGAAGAAATGAAATTACTGTAGCATATTTCGGGGGGGGACAACTTGCTCTTTTAAAAAGTCATTTTGGATGTCGCACAAAGACTGTTTCCATTTTATAAAATGGAAATTCTCAAATTTAACACAATTTCTTGAAGGCCAGATAACAGCACTAACAGTAATGATCTTCAATAACAAAAACTGTTATTGAATGTAATGTTTGCATTGGGGCCAAATTAATAAAAACAGGATTCCTCTGTGGGTTGGGCAGCCAATAAAGCTGATACAATTCATAGAAAAAAGTCCATTATTGCAAGCAGGGGAAACAGTGCTATTCTCTATATTACCAAATTCTTAGTACCTCATTTTCACTGACTTAGATTTTGTTCATCTATTCCCCAGGTTCTTAACCTGATAATAAATATCTGTTCCTTCCCTTGAATTTTAAGGAAAAAAAAGCTAGACAATAATTAGGAAAAAAGGGAGAAGTGGTATCGAAAGGAAATAAATAACATTTGAAAGAAACAAGGGAGAATGGAAAGCAACAAAATCCATCTTCTTTTGAAGCAACAAAATGATTTTGTGGAAACATCTGCATTTCCAGACAACAACACCTTAATGGAGAGTGGGAGTAATACATAATTTATGAAAAATTTATATATAAATTTTGATTATATATTTCACTTTGGTTTGTGCAGGGGGAAGTTGTACTACTTTATGTACATTAAACATGGCATATCCAGGAGCCCAGGAAAGGAACACTTTCTCTTTGATAACCAGAAGGCATTGAGAGAGATGAAAGCACTAAAGGTGGGTACTTCAGAGAATTGCTGTAAAACATGCCTTTCTACTTCTCTTCCTTATAAGTAAAACTCATCAAGTTTGACATTTTTAATACATGTTGATTAAAATTTGGTAAGGCTATGAGAAAGCGCCACCAGTGACTTTAACACATATGTGTGTCTCTGCAAATCACATGTTATTGTAACTTAGTCAAGGTGGCGTCAGGACAGTATTGCTGGTCAAACCATCCCTGGCATGGGAATTTCTCAGTCTTATTCCTCACATTTATTATTATTTGTGCCCTGTAAATATAATTCCCTTCTTTTCTATTGTTGAGCTGACTTTATTTGAGTCTGAAACTCTGGTCACCTTCTTTCTTGCATGAAACTAAATCCTATATAAAACTCTATAATCTAAAACTCTATATAATATAAAATCCAAATTTATTGTGTTGGGTTTTGGTTACTTCTCTCTCTCTCTCTCTCCATGTACCTAAAAAGAGTTGGCACCTGCCAAAGTAAAACACATCTGCATTTTTACAACAGGGTCACTGGAAGTCAAAAAGGAGAGAGCAAGCAGTACACAAGACACTAGACAAAATCCAGTTGGGATAAAGTTACAGTGGTGTAAAACAGATCCAGTACCAGAAATATTTAATGTAAATCAGTTGCTTCAAACCTTGAGTAACTCGGGTGTTCTTAGACTGCAATTCCTAGGAGCCTTCAGGACTTCTGGGAGTTGCAGTACAAGAACACCTGGGTTACCCAAGATTGGGAAACACTGATGTAAATGAACTGAAAGCTTCCTATCCCCGCTTTCAGGTTCAGAAGCTCCCTAGTTCCATTGATTCAACAGGCCTATTTAAATTGCAACTTACTACTGGATTTCAGCCAGCATTTGCTAATGCCTCTGTTTCTTACAACATTCCAGAATATATATGCCTTACAATCCACAACTCTGAAGTTGCCACCGATGCATTAAAATATGACAAAAAGGACATCAGTGGAATCAGGTATGATTTAAATATGCTTATGTTGCAACACTCCCTTCTGATTCGTTAAAAAAAAAGTACAATGCCAAATAGAAAGCAAAACATCTTACCCTAAATGAGGTCCTCCATTCATTAAATCAAACACCTGAGCTGGATTTAGTGACTGTTTGAATCGTCGGAGAAATTTTACTCCTTGATTGTCTCCGCTCTTTGAGTTAACAAAAACCAAGAGAGGACTGGCACAAGTTGGTGGGCACGTGGCTTTCCAGAATCCTGTAAATATCATAAGGAACAGAATGACATAAATAAATTGGAGGGAGCCAAGTTCCTCCCCATTCTTTTGAAATATAATCACTACCCACTTTATCTGACATAGAAAAGAACAGTGGATATGTTTTTCCCTCAGCAAGATGGAGGTGACACTGAAAGCTAGCTACTGTTAACCAACAATGAAAGCAGCATCAGATCAGTCAACTTTCTGTTCTACCCAATCTCCACTATCTTGTCACTAACTTTAAAAGGGTGGGGGATCTATTAAGATGATCCGCCCTCTGAGACTAATGGATCTAGATGGATTCCTGAATGCTCTGGGGGATTATCCGTCTGATATGGTCGGCGCTCCTGTCGAACCTCAGGTCACTCTATGGAATAGGGAGATGACCCAGGCAGTTGACACGATTGCGCCTAAGCGCCTCTCCCTGCTCACCGAGCCCAGACAGTTCCTTGGTATACTTCTGAACTGCGGGCGATGAAGCGAGAGGGGAGACGGCTGGAGCGCAGGTGGAGGAAATCCCACTGGGAGTCCGATCGAACACGACTTAGAGCCCATTATTGGGCCTATTTCGTGGCAATACAGCTGGCGAAACGGCAATATTTCTCCAGCCGTATTGCTTCCTCAGAATGTCGCCCAGCCGAGCTGTTTCGGGTGGTCCGGGATCTACTTCAACCGGGAAATCCGGTGGAGGTCCCGGACTGCTCATCAGCTCGCTGAGATGAGTTTGCAATCCATTTTGAGGGGGAAATCGCTCAGATTCGCAGTGGGTTGGACTCCACAGTTACTGCAGAATCAGAGGAGGTGTCCAGTGCACTGTGCTTAGGTCAAGTATTAATGGATGAGTTTCAATTATTGAGACCTGAGGATGTGGACAGGGTGCTTGGATCTGTCCGTTCTACCACAACTCCGCTCGACCCTTGCCCATCCTGGCTAATTAGAAGATCAGCCAGGGGGGTTCGCACCTGGGTCCAGGAGAGAGGGAGTGGTCCCTACCACCTTGAAAGAGGCGGTAATTCGACCACTCCTTAAAAAGCCTAACCTGGACCCAAGGCTGGTGGTCAACTACCGACCAGTGGCGAACCTCCCTTATTTGGGCAAGGTGTTGGAGCGGGTTGTGGCCGGGCAACTCCAGGCGCTGCTGGATGAAACGGATTTTCTGGATCCATTTCAATCGGGTTTCAGGC